CAAATCAAAACCACAGTGAGGTACCACCTTCTACCCATTAGGATGACTATGACTTAAAAAAAGAAAGGAAGGAAGGGAGGGAGGAAGGAAGAAAATAACAAGTGTTGGCGAGGATGTGGAGAAATTGGAACCCCTGTGCACAGCTGGTGGGAATGTAAAATAGTTATCATATAATCCAGCAATTCTACTTCTAGGTATATACCCAAAATAATTAAAAGCAAGGACACAAAGAGATATTTGTACTCTGATATTTATTGGAGCATTACTTGAAATAGCTAAAAGGTAGAAGCCACCCATGTATCCATCAACAGATGAATGGATCAACAAAATGCAATATATTCATGCAATGGAATATTGTTCAGCCTTTAAAAGGAAGGAAATTATGACACATGCTACAACCTGGATGAACCTTGAAGACATGCTGAGTGAAATAAGCCAGTCACAAAAATACAAATACTGATGATTCCATAGAGTATTAGTCAAATTCAGAGAGACAGAAAGTAGAATGGTGGTTACCAGGGACTGAGAAGGGCGAGGGGGGACTGGGGAGGTAGTGTTCAATGGGTACAGTTTCAGTACAAAATGAAAAGAATTCTATGGATAGATGGAGGGGATGGCTGCACAACAATGTGAAAATACTTAATGCTATTGAACTGTACATTTAAAAATGTTTAAGATGGTAAATGGCATGTTACATATATTTTCAATTAAAATGTAAATGTATGTATTTAACAATTAAAATGTAAAAAAAACATAGACCTCATGAAAGGGCTAAATAAGTATTAGTTGCTCATAGGAAGTGGGAGGAAGAGAAATATTAAGGTAATATTTTCCATCCCCAAAGAATGCAAAATGTGGCTGAGCCCAAATCACACCGCTCTCCTCACATCACCGTCATCCACCAACAGGGACAAACCTCCCTCGGTTTCCTGTCATCCCCTTCCATTCTACATTTGTAAGTTATCTTCATACACAGGAAGAGATACCCTTGATTCCACACTTGTGTGTGTGTTGTGTGTTGGGAGGGTTAGGGGGACGCAGCATGGCCATGCCACACCAGTGTCCTTCCAAAGCAGGGCACTGCATGGAAATCACACTGGGTAGAAATCATACTGGAAAGAGTCACTCCCCTGCCTTCTCAAACCAGACCTTGCATTTGTCAGTGAGCATGCAGGTGCAGTCACAGTTCCTTTTTCTAATTAACCTCTTAGCTAACCCAAGTGAAGTGGTAAATTTATTTAGACTCAAAGTAGACACTGATATGCCTGTTTAATTAGACGTTCTATCTATTACCTTTGTTTAAGTTTATCCTTGTTGGAAAGAGCTATTAATTTAATCACTACTTCCCAATCTCAACCAAGCAGACTTCAATTGCTTAGGCCCACAGAGAAGAGGAAAAATCTATAAATCTGCAATGACCAATCCTGAATGAGGCTGGACAGAACAGAAGGGATAAGATTAGACTAAATTAGGCAACAAATTAATGAAGGTCACTTGAACTTATGCGGGCCATCCGGGGGCGCTGAGACCTAACTAGGATTTATTATTTGCTCCATGGCTCTGCTTCTGGCCTTGGAAGTGCATGTCGTGCTGCTTTACTTCCACCCAGTATCTGAGAACTGGAGACAATGCATGAGAGCTTTCTTAAACAATTCAGTCTCCTACAGCTGGAGCGGCCCCAAGAGATCATCTTAGGTATAGGGCAAGGGAGACCCAGAGACAGGGAGCAGCTGGTCAAAAGGCTGGACACACTCAGGGGCCAGATGTCAGGCCCCCAACCTTTAGTTCAAAGCTCTTGCACTACACTGCCCTCCTCTCTACCAACACATCACACACCACACCTGTGCACTTTAACAAACCACTATTCTGATCCTACACAGTTCAGAACAGGCAGCTGGTGCAGTCATTCCCCAGCCATCTTCCAAGGGTTGTCCCCACCCCGCGGGCCAGCAGCAGGTGCTGGCAGGACACACAGGCATCTCTGCAGAATGGCAGACAGCTCGGGTTCCTGGGTCACCTTGGGAAGCAGACCTCATAGATGCAAGACCTTTCTTCTAAGAAATAGACAGCAAGGATTTATTTTCCTACTTCGGTCAGGGGGAAGGGACTACATGAATATAATGCCCCACGTGGAGGTTAAACACTAACCTGTGAGGCAGGGAGCACTTGCCACAACCCCCACGCATCATCGCAGAGCTGAAGAAACCGGGCGGGGGCCGGGCACTTGCCCATAACTCCTGAGCACCACTGTGGGCAGCAAGGCAGGCACCTCACTGGGAAGCCAGGGTGTCAGACAAATGCACCCCCGGACTCTTCACCCACCAGCACCAAATAATTGCTTTTCTAGGCTTCATTTCAAAAAGTCGATTTCTTAAGATAGTGAATAGTTTGAGAAATCCACTATCCCAAGAATAGAGAGGAAGAGAGGGAGAGACAGTGCATGCGTGTGTGCATGTTAAGAGAAAGGGAGAGAGAGGAAAGGATCAAGGTAGCAGTTAAGATTCTAAAAAGCACTCCCTTAGAGCTAACTCACTGGCCTGAACCAAATGCTGGTAATCAAAGGGAATGCCATTAATGAGTGCTAAGCTTCCAGAGTTAATCAGAAATATAGACTTAAGGTCTTTATAATAGCCTTCACTCACCACACATTTCATGCTGCATTTTCAATTACCCCTTAGGCAATTAACTGTGCAGCTTAAATGAAATGTGTAGAATTCAGGAGAGATTAAACCTAATACAATCTGCTTGCAAAGCTTCAGCATTCACAAGTTTAATGAGGTGATAATGGGGAAGAAACCGTCCTAACCCTTGCTAAACCAGGCTGCACCAAGTCAAGTCTGTCATTGTCAAAGGCATTCGTCAATCACAGGTAGAGCTGGGTGCTGTTAGAGATCTGGAGGCACTTAACCTTCTGAAACAGCTTGTTCTTCTCCCTTCCTTCTCACTGATCCAGTTTCCCAGGCCCTCCCAGAAATGACAGGAGAGTGTCACTTTCCACAACACTTACTATCTGGTTTTCTGGTTGTCTTGGTTGAGGTACTCATGAGATAGCTTTCTCCTTTCCTGAATTGTTCAACTTCCTCTTACTTGTTTTTTTCCTGAATTAGCCAACAAGCATCCTTAATGAGACAACCAATTTCTAAAGTGAGCTATTTGTGAACTATCTTTAAGCAAAATGGGTTTCATGATATGGTACAGAATACAGATGTCAAGATGTGGCTTCTTTTCCAACCTGGCCCATCAAACAAGCCAGATGATCTTGCAAAAATCACATAACTGTTTTTATTTCAATCCTGCAGTAGGACCATGTAATCCAAAAAATGTGTTTCAGAAAGCCGAGGTCTAGTTTGACCAAGCCAAAAGATGGAAAACTTTCAAGGTCAGGCTGAGGAGACCCCATCCCCATCCAGCATCATGTTTCAGGTAGAATAAAGTGAAGGAGACCACAGAGCAGGAGACTAGTCTTCAGGCTGATAGACCTGAGTCAGATGCAAGCAAATATGACATGAGCTAGCATGAGGGCAGCAGAAACAGAAAGAAATGGACTAAAGCAAGAAATATGGCAAAAGAAATTTCCTCCCAGTTCCAGAGTTCACCTTGAGGATAAGGAAGATATTAAAGATGCCTGAGTTTTCCAGGAAGATGTTGAGTATAATGATGGTAATGACATTAAGAATTTAAGCTGGTTGGTAAGGAATATTTGCCCATTTTAGATTGTTTGAAATTTCGGTGTTGGCCAAAACCTCCAGAGGGATGCCAACAAAAATTTAAATGAAAGACTGTAGTTTGAGAGAAATCAGAGCCTCCAACTCCTCATCTGTAAATTGAAGGTTCAGATAAGATCAGTAAATCCTGAATTCTGGATTCATATCAGAATCTCGTAGAACTTTCTGAAAGCAGAGACCATACCTCAAAACAATTAAGGCAGAATCACTGGGGGTTGGGATCTTGCTGAGCAATGACCAGAGGTATGTGCATACACAAGAAACTTCCAGGCCTTTGGTGATTCTGCTTTGTCACCTTTTTCTGAACAAGAGAGGAAACCTCAATAACTTTTACTCAAATTGATAAAGATTTACCTCAGGAATCCTCAACAGAGATTCCCCAAGTAAAGGCTAGTTTCTCCATTCTGTAGCCCTCAATGGCAGCAGGTTTTTATCTACCCAAGAGAAAGTTGCAGAAGAGAAGGAGCTAAAAAAAGAAAGAAAACTGAGGAAGTCAGTAGGTTGAAGGTGAGGTGGCTGAAGAAGTCCAGAATCCTGAGCTGCTGCAAGTTAGAGTAGGGTAGGATTTGTGCTGCCCAGATACAGTCATTCCCCCACTGTGTCCTTGCTAATGATCCCACATATTCTTTATTACTGTGGTTTGCAAATCTCTTTCCATCTCTTTTCTCATTTGATCCTATGACCACCCTGTGAGCTAGACAGAACTGGCATTATGAATGCTCTTTTTACAGATGGGAAAACAGAGTCCTGGAGATGGAAGTGTTCTTGCCAAGTTCCCCAGCTAGCAAAGCCAAGATCGGAAAGGACACAGGCCTGGAGCCAGGTTCTTCCCACTACATCCTGCTGCCTCCACAGAACAGGGAATCTAGAGAATCTAATGGAGACGTGGGTGGTGATTCTGAGGCAAAGGCTTTTTTTTTTTTTAACCTTTACCCTTTCAACAACGTTCTCTCATGACTGACCTCTGTATTTGCCATGTTGTGGTCTTCTTCTTTTTTTATTTTTTTATTTTTATTTGTATCATTAATATACCCTTAAATGAACAACACTGTTTATGCTGAGAAGTCTGATGATAGCCTGATGGGTTTTCCTTTGTATGTGATCTTATTTCTCACTGTGGATGCTTTTGATATAGTCTGTCCTTATCCTTGATCTTTGCCACTTTAATTATTCTTTGTCTTGGTGTTGTCCTCCTTGGGTTCCTTGTGTTGGGAGATCTGTGCACATCCATGGCCTGAGAGACTACTTCCTTCCCCAGATTGGGGAATTTTTCAGCAATTACTTCCTCAAAGACACTTTCTCTTTCTCTTCTTCTTCTGGTACCCCTATAATACAAACATTGTTCCGTTAGGATTGGTCACACAGTTCTCTCAGTATTCTTTCATTCTTAGAGATCCTTTTTTCTCTCTGTGCCTCAGCTTCTTGGTATTCCTCTTCCCTAATTTCTATTTCATTTATCGTCTCCTCCACCTTGTCTAATCTGCTTTAAATACCCTCCATTGTGTTCTTCAATGACTGGATCTCTGTCCTAAATTAGTTCCTGAGTTCTTGAATATTTTTCTGTACCTCCATGAGCATGTTAATGATTTTTATTTTGAAATCTCTTTCAGGAACATTCAAGAAGTCAATTTCATTTGAATCTTTCTCAGGTGTATTAATAATTTTGCTGTGAACCAGGTTCCTTTGATGTTTCATAATTTGTCTGCAGTGCCCTCTAGTTCCCAGAAGCTCTACTCTCTGGAGCTGCTCAGCCCCTGGAGCAATGTTGGGGGTCGCAGGGGAGCAGTGTTGGTGCTTATGGGGAGGAAAGAGCTGTTTCCTGCTTCCTGGCTGCTATGCCTCTCTCCACTACCAGAAAGACTGGACTGAACACACAGGTGTAAGCCTCTATGCTTTGTTTTGTAGCGGCCATAGGCAGGTCTTCCCTCTGGCTGGCCTGACGCCAGGGCAGGGGTTGCAGGTTTGTGAACCTGAGCCAGGTGCGGGCTAGGCAGGAAGAAGACACAGCAGGCTGCATATCACGATGTGGGGCCTTCGAGATGCATAGCCAGCAAGGGGGTTGGAGTGCCTAAAGATCATTTAAGCTCCCAATCTGCTGGGAAGAGTGCACCCGGACAATTTTGTCTACCTGTCCTTTCTCCTGAGCAGTAAGCTCTGTGCAATCCTGGCCCCTTAAGCAGTCCTCTCACTTTTAGGAAGTCTCTCAGACAGCCCACCCAGATCAGCTAGATATGAATCCCTGTTTTCCACAAGCAGTTGGAAACTCCATCTCTCCAGGTATATTCTGCCTGTCTTAGCTTTCCGACCACACTAAATCACCAGAGCACCATGCAATGTAGGTTCATGCTCCCAGAGCAAATCTCTAGGGCTAGGTGTTCAGCAGTCCCAGGCCTCCATTCCCTCCCCACTCTGTTTCTCCTCCTACCACCCATGAGCTGAGGTAAGGGAAGGACTTAGGCCCTGCGAGGGCCTAAGTGTTCAGTCACAGCTTTGGTACGTTACCCTGTTCCGGGAGGTCTGCTCTTTTCTCCAGGTGTATACAGTCTGGTGCAGCCTTCTTTCCTGTTGCTCTTTCAGGATTAGTTGCATTAAATTATATTTTTGTATTATATGTGGTTTTAGGAGGAGGTCTCTGTCTCACATCTCATGTCGCCATCTTTAATCCCCCAAGGCAAAGGCTTCTTAACTAAACTCCTCCTGGTCAGTTTATAAACCTTGTCCTACACCAAACTTAGAACTAGAACTCGAAGTATGAAGTAAAACTGGCTTGTTTTACATTTTTTCCCTGCACCTCTTCTATCCTTTCCTCTACCCAGTAGCAAAGGCATCCAGGGAGCAGTGACTGTGATAAACAAAGCCAAAGCTGTAAGCCAGAGAAGCAAGCAGCATGTATCGCACAGAACCTGGACAATCCAATTTCTTAGGAAAGGCTGACACAATGTCGTCTGAAGCTAGTGCTGATATATCCAACCGTGATTTCCGTGGCCCTGCGGCAGGCACTCAAATACTAGCTGAACATTAATTGGGGATTCTACTCTGGAGACTGCACACTATCTTGTTAAGGAAAACACAACTTCACTTTGACCAAAACAAGTTACATTGTATTTCATTTACACCAGTTAACATGCCTAGTATAAGCCCATACACACTCCACAAAAGAGAGAATCATGTGGTTAAAAACAGTGCCTCAGGACTTAATGGGTTGTGGCTTATGTTTGGTATCATTAATATACAATTACATGAGCAACGCTGTGGTTCTAGATTCCCCCCATTATCAAGTTCCCACCACATACCCCATTACAGTCACTGTCCATCAGCATAGAAAGATGCTACAGAGTCACTCCTTGTCTTCTCTGTGCTATACTGCCTTTCCCATGCCCCCCGAATGCGAGGTGTGCTAATTGTAATGCTCCTTTGTCCCTTATCCCTCCCTTCCCACCCATCCTCCCCAGTCCCTTTCCCTCTGGTAACTGTTAGTCCATTCTTGGGTTCTGTGATTCTGCTGCTGTTTTGTTCCTTCAGTTTTTGCTTTGTTCTTATACACCACAGATGAGTGAAATCACCTGCTACCTGCCTTTCTCCACCTGGCTTATTTCACTGAGCAAAATACCCTCTAGCTCCATCCATGTTGTTGCAAATGGAAGGATTTCTTTTCTTTTTTTTTGGCTGAAAAATATTCCATTGTGTATATGTACCACTTCTTCTTTATCCATTCATCTACTGGTGGACAGGTTGCTTCCATATTTTGGCTATCGTAAATAGGCTGCGATAAACATAGGGGTGCATATGACTTTTTGAAACTGGACTCCTGCATTCTTAGGGTAAATACCTAGGAGTGGAATTACGGGGTCAAATGTATTTCTATTTTTAGTTGTTTGAGGAACCTCCATACTGCCTTCCACAATGGTTGAACTAATTTACATTCCCACCAGCAGTGTAGGAGGGTTCCCCTTTCTCCACATTCTCGCCAACATTTCTTCTTGTTTGTCTCTTGGATGGTGGCCATCCTATCTGGTGTGAGGTGGTATCTCATTGTGGTTTTAATTTTCATTTCTCTGGTGATTAGCGATGTGGATCATCTTTTCATGTGCCTGTTGGCCATCTGAATTTCTTCTTTGGAGAAGTGTCTGTTCAGATCTTCTGCCCATTTTTTTATTGGATTATTTGCTTTTTGTTTGTTGATTTGTGTGAGCTCAACCCCTTATCAGATGTCATTTAGGAATATATTGTCCAAACTGTAGGATGCCTTATTGTTCTACTGATGGCATCCTTTGCTGTACATAACCTTTTAAATTTATAGTTTGATATAGTCCCACTTGTTCATTTTTGCTTTTGTTTCCCTTGCCCAGGGAGATATATTCATGAAGAAGTTGCTCATGTTTATATTCAAAAGTTTTGCCTATATTTTCCTCTAAGAGCTTTATGATTTCATGATTTATATTCACGTCTTTGATACATTTTGACTTTACTTTTCATATGGAGTTAGACAGTAATCTAGTTTCATTCTCTTACATGTAGCTGTCCAGTTTTGCCAACACCAGCTGTTTAAGAGGCTGTCATTTCCCCATTGTATGTCCATGGCTCCTTTATTGTATATTAATTGACCATATATGCTTGGGTTTTAATATCTGGACTCTCTATTTTGTTCCACTGGTCTATGGGTCTGTTCTTGTCCCCATACCAAATTGTCTTGATTACTGTGGCTTTGTAGTAGAGCTTGAAGTTGGGAAGCGAGATGCCCCTGCTTCATTCTTCCTTCTCTGGATTGCTTTGGCTATTCAAAGTCTTTTGTGGTTCCATATGAATTTTAGAACTATTTATTCCAGTTAATTGAAGAATGCTGTCAGGAGTCTGACAGGGATTGCATTGAATCTGTAGATTGCTTTAGGCAGGATGGCCATTTTTACAATAGTAATTGTTCCTACCCAAGAGCATGGGATGAATTTCCATTTATTAGTGCCCTCTTTAATTTCTCTTAAGAGTGTCTTGTAGTTTTCAGGGTATAGGTCTTTCACTTCCTTGGTTAGGTTTATTTCTAGGTATTTTATTCTTTTTGATGCAACTGTGAATGGAACTGTTTTCCTGATTTCTCTTTCTGCTAGTTCATCGTTAGTGTATAGGAATGCAACAGACTTCAGTCTGTTAATTTTGTATTCTGCAACTTTGCTGAATTCAGATATTAGATCTAGTAGTTTTGGAGTGGATTCTTTAGGGTTTCCTATGTACAATATCATGTCATCCGCAAACAGGAACAGTTTGACTTCTTCCTTACCCATCTGGATGCCTGTTATTTCTTTGTGTTGTCTGATTTCTGTGGCAAGGACCTCCAGTACTATGTTGAATAAAAGTGGAAGAGAGTGGGCATCCCTGTCTTGTTCCCAATCTTAAAGGAAAAGCTTTCAGCTTCTTGATGTTAAGTATGATGTTGGCTGTAGGTCTGTCATATATGGCCTTTATTATGTTGAGGTACTTGCCCTCTGTACCCATTTTGTTGAGAGTTTTTATCATGAATGGATGTTGGATTTTGTTGAATGCTTTTTCATCATCTACAGAGATGATCATGTGGTTTTTGTCCTTTACGTTGATGGATTTTCGGATGTTGTAACATCCTTGCATCCCTGAGATGAATCCCACTTGATCATGGTGTATGATCCTCTTAATGTATTTTTGAATTTGGTTTGCTAATATTTTGTTGAGTAATTTTCATCTATGTTCATCAGGGATATTGGTCTGTAGTTTTCTTTTTTTGTGGTGTCTTTGCCTGGTTTTGGTATTAGAGTGATGCTGGCTTCATAGAATGAGTTTGGAGGTGTTCCCTCCTCTTCTATTCTTTGGAAATCTTTAAGGAAAATAGGTATTATGTCTTCTCTAAATGTCTGATAAAATTCAGCAGTGAATCCATCTCACCTGTGAGTTTTGTACTTGGGTAGTTTTTTGATTACCAATTCAATATCATTGTTGGTAATTGGTCTGTTCAGATTTTGTTTCTTCCTGGGTCAGTCTTTGAAGGTTGTATTTTTCTAGAAAGTTGTCCATTTCTTCTAGGTTATCCAGTTTGTTAGCATATGGTTTTCATAGTATTCTCTAATAATTCTTTGTAATTCTGTAGTGTCCATCATAATTTTTCTTTTCTCATTTCTGATTCTGTTAATGTGTGTAGACTCTCTTTTTTTCTTAATAAGTCTAGCTAGTGGTTTATCTATTTTGTTTATTTTCTCAAAGAACCAGCTCTTGATTTCATTAATTTTTTCTATTGCTGTATTCTTCTCAATTTTATTTATTTCTTCTCTGCTCTTTATTATGTCCCTCCTTCTGTTGACTTTGGGCCTTGTTTGTTCTTCTTTTTCCAGTTTCAATAATTGTGAATTAAGACTATTCATTTGGGATTGTTCTTCCTTCTTTAAATAGCCCTGGATTGCTATATACTTTCCTCTTATAACTGCCTTCGCTCATCCCACAGAAGTTGGGGTATTCGGCTATTGTTTTTCTTTGTCTTCATATATTGCTTGATCTCTGTTTTAATTTGGTCATTGATTCACTGATTATTTATGAGTATGTTGTTAAGCGTCAATGTGTTTGTGAGTCTTTTTGTTTCCTTTGTACAATTTATTTTTAGTTTTATACCTCTGTGATCTGAGTAGTTGGTTGGGACAATTTCAATCTTTTTGAATTTATTGAGGCTCTTTTTGTGGCCTAGTATGTGGTCTATTTTGGAAAATGTTCCATGTGCACTTGAGAAGAATGTGTATCCTGCTGCTTTTCGGTGTAGAGTTCTGTAGATGTCTATTAGGTCCATCTATTCTAATGTGTTGTTCAATGCCTGTGTCCTTACTTATTTTCTGTCTAGTTGGTGTGTCCTTTGGAGTGAGTGGTGTGTTGAAGTCTCCTAAAATGAATGCATTGCATTCTATTTCCTCCTTGTATTCTATTACTATTTGTTTCACATATGTCGGTGCTCCTGTGTTGGGTGCATAGATATAATGGTTATATCCTCTTGTTGGACTGACCCCTTTATCATTAAGTAATGTCCTTCTTTGTCTCGTTACTTTCTTTGTTTTGAAGTCTATTTTGTCTGATACAAGTACTGCAACACCTGCTTTTTTCTCCCTATTGTTTGCATGAAATATCTTTTTCCATCCCTTCACTTTAAGTCTGTGTATGTCTTTGGGTTTAAAGTGAGTCTCTTGTAGGCAGCATAAAGATGGGTCTTGCTTTTTTATCTATTCTATTTCTCTGTGTCTTTTGATTGGGGCATTCAGTCCATTTATGTTTAAGGTGATTATTGAAAGATATGTACTTATTACCATTGCAGGCTTTGGATTCCTGGTTACCAAAGGTTCAAGGGCAGCTTCTTTACTACCTAACCATCTAACTTAACTCACTTATTATGCTATTATAAACACAGTCTGATGATTCTTTATTTCCCTCCCTTCTTTTTCTTTTCCTCCACTCTTTATATGTTAGGTGTTATATTCTGTACTCCTTGTTTACCTTGACTGATTTTGTGGATAGCTGATTTTACTGATTTAGTTAGTATTTCATTGGTCTACTTTCTTTGCTGTGGTTTTATTTTCTTTAGTGACGGCTATTTAGCCTTAGGCATACTTCCATCTAGAGAAGTCCCTTTATCCCTTTAAAATACATTGTAGAGATGGTTTTTGGTAGATAATTTCCTCAACTTTTGCTTATCTGGCAATTGTTTAATCCTCCTTCAAATTTAAATGATAATCTTGTTGGATACAGTATTGTTAGTTTAAAGCCCTTCCATTTCATTGCATTGAATGGCATTTCCTTATGGCCTGTAAAGTTTCTGCGGAGAAGTCTGATGATAGCCTGATGGGTTTTCCTTTGTAGGTGATCTTTTTTCTCTCTCTGGCTGCTTTTAATACTCTGTCCTTATCTTTGATCTTTGCCATTTTAATTATTATATGTCTTGATGTTGTTCTCCTGGGGTCCCTTGTGTTGGGAGATCTGTGGACTTCCATGTTCTGAGAGACTATTTCCTTCCCCAGATTGGGGAGTTTTCAGCAATTATTTCTTCAAAGGCACTTTCTATCCCTTTTTCTCTCTCTTCTTCTTCTGGTACCCCTATAATGTGAATATTGTTCCATTTGGATTGTCACACAGTTCTCTTAATATTCTTTCATTCCTAGAAATCCTTTTATCTCTGTGCCTCAGCTTCTCTGTATTCCTGTTCTCTGATTTCTATTCCATTAACAGTGTCTTCCACCTCATCCAGTCTGCTCTCATTGTTTGTTTCATTTCTGTTATCTCCCTTCTATATTCATCCCTTAGCTCTTGAATATTTCTTTATAGCTCCATCAGCATGCTTATGAGTTTTATTTTTAATTCTTTTTCAGGAAGATTGTTGGTTTCAATCTCACCAAGGCCTCTCTCTGGTGTTTGAGCGATTTGGGACTGAACAAGATTCTTCTGCCTTTTCTTGGCGATGGGAGTGGTAGCTGGTGAGTGGCACATGTGTCAGCTGGGAAAACAAAGTCCCTTCCTGATTGCTGGTTGCCTTGTGGTCTCTGTTGTCTATGCTGGTTACACACACACAGGGAGCAGCCTCTGGGTTAATCCTCTAAGCTGCCATGGGTGGGGCAGCTGTCAAGATGGCCTAGGGCACTGGTGTGGGTCACAGGCCATCAGCATGTGTTCTGCCACAAGAACAAAGCCCCTTTGTGCCTCCCGGTTTCTGCCTGTCTCTGCTGTCTATGCCAGTCAACCACACACAGGGAACAGCCACTGGGTTAATCCCCTAAGCTGCCATGGGCGGTGTGGCCCTCAGGATGGCCTAGGACACTGGCGGGGGTCACTTGTGAGCAGCGTGTGTTCTGTGGTGAGAATGGAGCTCCCTTTGGGCATCCTGGACTCTGCGCCTTTCTCCACTGTCTGTGCCAGTCAACCGCGCACAGGGAGAAGCTTCTGTGTCAAGCTGTGTGGTTGCTGTAGGCAGGGTTGCTCCCCAGCTGTTCCACAGCAATGATGGGTCAGCCAGTTTGCTTGCAGTGCCAGCAGGGGGGAAGGAACAGTAGGCTGCTGACTGCCATGATGGGCTTTGGAGCTGCGGTGCCACCCAGGGGGTTAGGGCATCTGAAATTCCTTAAAGTTCCAAGCCTACTGGGCTGAGTGTGCCAGGACGATTTTGTCCACCTGTTAAACCCTTGTCCCTTTAAGACTTTTAAAGTGCCTGCTTTTCTTTTGTCCCAGGGCAGCCGGCTGTGGGAACCCATTCACAGTCTTGGTCTCAGACTTTGCTTTCCCACTCCTCCAATATCCAGAGCAGCATGCAATGTGTGTCTGTGCTCCCGGAGCAGATTACTGGGGCTGGTTATTTAGCGTCCTGTGCTTCCACTCCCTCCCCACTCTGATTCTTTTCCTCCTGCCAATGAGCTGTGGTGCAGGGAGTGCTCAGGTCCCACTGTGTCACGGCTTTGTGTCTGACCCTTTTCCGTGAGATGTTGGGTTCTCGCAGATGTAGCCTGGCTGGTGTACTGTATTTTCTGGTCACTCTTTAAGGAATAGTTATATTTGCTGTATTTTCAAAATATATATGGTTTTGGGAGGAGATTTCCGTCCCCTCCAATTATGCCACCATCTTGAGAATCTCCTTAATGGGTTTTGAGGAACAGAAACCCCTAAAGCAAAATGGAGTGTCTTACTGGATTCAAAGAAATTCCAACACAGGAAACAGACCTCATTCCACCACTTGAAGCTATGCATTCTTTCCCAGCTCTTTGTCCCTTCTCTATTTCTCTTAGAGGGATTCCTCTGCAATATATCCACAAGCTTACATCTACTAGAACTTTGAAAACTACTTCACTCTCTGTCTTCTGTTTCAAATTCTCAAAAGAGGGAGTTGGGTGCTGGTCAGCCAGTGCTTGGCTGGACTTCAGTCAGGTATTCACCACAGGAACAATTAGGGGAGGGGAGGATGCTTGGCCCCTCTAGACTCCACCCCTCCATCAACTGAGGCTACTGGTGAGGGGATAGCAGAATCCAGAAAAGGAGACTATGGGGAGAATTAGTACCCCAAACATCTCTATTATGTTCATAATCCTATATAATTGTGCCATAAAGTCATTCTAGTTAAATTACCTGAAATAAGGACCACATTTATGGTTCCTATACCTCCGTGAATCCGCATAGTGCCTATCTGGGCATGATGCTTATGTGTATCTCCCAATATAGACTAGGAGATTAACCACTTTTTAAAAACTATTATGTGTTTCAGGTGAACTGGACCTTGAGTACTGATTGCAGTAGTTGGCTTTAATTTTTCAACATTTTTTTCTTTGAAATAAATGTTTATATTCATATGTAAATGACACACAATTTAGAGATTCTCTTTTCTGTGCAAAAATAGCTATTTTTCTTAACTCAGCAGCGAGAAGTAGTATGTCCAAAGAACCCGTAAGTCTTGTCCAGAAAATATCTGAGTACCTACAAAGTGCCAGGCACCATGTTAGCCTTGGTATGACCACTTCATCCTCACAATCTCCAGTGAATGAACAGAGTCTTTTAAGTTTATTTTAAAAATAGCAGTTTAGTGTAGTGGTTCAGTGGGCCATAGAGTCCGACTCTTGGGGTTGTGCGACTCTGGGCATGTAACTAACATCTCTGTGCCTCGTTTTCCTAATTTGTAACATAGTGGTAATATTTATCATGTATTAATTGCTGAAAGAACTGAACAAATCAATAAATGAAAAGTGCTTAGAAGAAACTCTGGCATGTAGTAAATGTTCAAAAATGCTACCAGCTATTAAAATGTAGTTTAGAACAATGTACATAAAATATGGCAAATATCCTAAGACATGACATATTTAAGTCCTAAACTGAATGTCACATTCAAAGGGGACGGCTATGGATGGAAGCTAAAGAGCCTTTAAAGGCTTTGTGGGAAAGCTAGGACCTGAGCTAGGCCAGGTTTTAAAAAACAGAGGAAATGCAGGGAGGTGGAGAGAACAGAAAACTTACCCTGAAGTCACTGAGGTGCCACTTATGGAAAGGGCAAGGCAGGAAGGGCAAGATCAAAACCAATGACCCCCTGTGTATCTCTGTGTGTGCCTAGGAAGGAAAGGGACGTAATATACAGGTGAGGAGGGTCGGGCCAAACAGATAGTCAGAAGAGGAAATTAGGCTTCTTGCAAGCCACTCTAAGTTCTCCCACAGATGAGAAGCTGAATGAAGCAGGTGTTTGAGGGGGAAGTGGAGCATAGGCTTAATCAGAATGAAAGGGAACAGGGCCTTCCTTCCTCAGGCATGGCTACATGGGCCACATGGACAAGACGCCCAAACCCAAAGGTGGTGTATTACCTCCTTACACAGATGAAGAAATTCCCCTGTCTGGGCCTCAGTTTTCTCATTTATGAAATGTGGAAATGGGGACAGATCTGGGAAGGTACCAGAGGGGTTCAGTACTGCCTTCCTCTCCCCCAGTCACTTTTCCCCAGTCTCAGAATCTACACTGGCAAAAGCAAAAAGCACAGCTCACATTTGCAAAACCTCCTGCAGTCCTTAGTTGGAAAACTCAAGAGATAAAACGACCTTTCTCTCCTCAAGGTCTGTCATTACTGCTGTAAATTCCACGTATCTGTCAGAAGTCCCAGGTCCTCCACTTAGCAACCTGAGTAACAGGTGGATGTCCTCAAGTTTCTGGGCCTCAGTGTTGTCAACCATAAAGTGGGATAATAATACCTGAGCTGCTACTCACAAGAGAGAGTGAGGATCACACAAGGCTGAAGAAGCCCACACGCTACGTGTGGGTGTGTGAATACATGGGCTGTGGAGGCAGGAACAGCGCAATGATGCTGGAGTCAGGCATCCTGTGTTCAGGCTTCTATCACGTGCAAACTGTGTGACCGCAAATAAAACACTATTATGTCTCAGTTTTCTCCTGGTAAAATGGAGAAAAGACCTTAATCACAAGCTATTTGACAGTCCATGGAGGGACAACATTTAAAGCATCTAATTATATGTACAGTCTGAATGTAAAAGTTTAGTAGTATTAATTCTTTAAATTCAAGTTGGAAAAAATATCTGAATTAGGATTCAGAGAGAATCTTGGAATGCAACTGTAACTCATTAGCTCTTCAAAAATTCAAATGGGAAAAAATATATCTGATCTAGTAGTCAGAATCTCAGGATGTGGCTAAGCAGAATATTGGCTTCTTGGGTTCAGAGCATGTCAGCAGCTTTTCTGCCTAGCTCATGAGCCATGTGAGAGAGAAGCCCTCAGACAGTTCAAGGAGGTCAAACGTCGGTTGAGAATAGTTTGGGAGTTGTATGCAGCTTAGCAGCTGGAAGGACATGTGGCTTCAAGGCAGCCCAAGCCCAAAGGCAACTTGGAGGGTGGCTCTCTCATCGAAGGGCCTGGGCCCGTGCACCCCGTGGCTTCATGGGGAGGCTTTCAGGAGCAAATCCCTACAAAAGCACTTACACAGTGCCTGGATCACAGAAAGCACTCAATTTACATTAGCGCTGATATTGGTTTGGTTCAATAAGCATGCAGAGTACTGTGTCATGTGCTGGATAAAAACATGAGTTAGTCCAGTGCTGGGCCTCGAAAAACCATGCACAGAAGGCACTGAGGAAGCCACCTGTGCACAAATTTACAACCTTCTTGACTTCTGGCCAACATTCTCAAGGGGTGCTATCAGGCCATCATAAGCAGAATGCTTCTCTCCTACAGCTATAGTTGTGTAAATGTAGGCTGCATTCCTGGAAAGCCCTTATACCCTAGAAATACCATATATACCCTATGCACCTACTGGTATATGCTTTTTAAGATATCAACTAAGTATTAAATACAAATACTTTATAGAATACAAACAACAAAAAAGTAATCCTGAAAAGGTTCAACATGGACTAGACCAGCTGAAATATCTTAAAATGAGAATGCCCTGAAGGTTAGACAAAATATGACATCTCTTCCGGGTCAAAAGTAAGCACTTTTTTTTCCATCACTCCCAGGATTTTCAAACTGCATTTAAAATTGCTGAGTCATGTGTCTCAAAAACTTTTTCTGGCCAGTCTGAAGTTCACGAATACCACTGAAAGGGCATAAACTGTACCTGCTGGGCATTATCCTGGAAGACTTCATCAGAGATCTCCTTTCACAGATGCTAAATAATGTCTCTAACCTCTGGCTGATTCTACCTCTTTTAAATACTTTTTACTATTATCTCACTGTCTCAGTTATGCAACTTGCTAGTTTACACAGCTGGGCACATAACACCTCTGTGTCCCTATTTCCTGGCCTATAAGATGGGGATAATTAATAGAAACTACCTCCAAGGATAATTTTAGGATTAATGGATTTATTACATCTAAAGCATAGAATAGTACTCTGACAAAAATGCTTAGTGTCAGCTATGATCATTATTACTATCATCATTACTGTAAATTCTTCAGAATTTTTTATAGCTGTCTGTGCATGCTGCTTCCTTCAAATAGGTCATGAGTTCTGTTTCCTAAGTAAACTAACCATCTTTCCTTTGCTTCTGTGGAAAATGTCTTTTTTTGACATCTTACCAATCTACTCATAAGCATTCTAAAAGAGAAATCATATCTTTTTGCCAAAGTGTTTGCTTAGTAAAAAGGCATATGAAATTTTCTCCCTCATGAAGCAGCTCATTGCATTTTTATCACCAATGGTTACACTGAAAATTGGAGGAGTCTTACTGTGATAAGAAATGTCAGAAAATCAGAAGGCCACACACACAAGGTTGGAGTAGCGAAGGGAGATGGGCCTGCAAGGCCTCCCAGGGTCCTGTAGAACAGGGCTTCCACCCTGGCTGCACTTTAGAATCATCCATTCCATATCCTCCTGCTCAAAGGGCAGCCTCTGGGTCAGCAGCCTCGGCATCACTAGGGAGCTCATTAAAACTGCAGAATCTACATATGCACCCCTATGTTTATCACAGCACTATTTACAATAGCCAAGAAATGGAAGCAATCTAAGTGTCCATCAGTCGATGAATGGATAAAGAAGATGTACATATACACAAAGGAATATTATTCAGCCATAAATAGAAAACAAATCTTACCATTTGCAACAACATGGATGGAGCTAGAGGGTATTTCATTCAGTGAAATAAGCCAGGCAGAGTAAGACAAGCACCAAATGATTTCACTTATCTGTGGAGTATAAGAACAAAGCAAAAACTGAAGGAACAGAACATCAGCAGACTCACAGAACCCAAGAAAGGACTAACAGTTACCAAAGGGAAAGGGACTGGGGAGGATGGGTGGGAAAGGAGGGATACGGGGATTAAGGGGCATTACGATTAGCACACATATGTGGGTGGGGGAACGGGAAGGCAGTACAGCACAGAGAAGACAAGTAGTCACTCTATAGCATCTTACTATGCTGTTGGACAGGACTATAATCGGGTATGTGGTGGGGACTTGATAATGGGGGTAATCTAGTAACCACAATGTTGCTCAGGTAATTGTATATTAAGGATACCAAAATGAAATTAAATAAAAAAAAGAAATGCAGAATCTCAGGCCCCTTGAGACCTGCGGGATCAGAATCTGCACTCTAAGAAGATCCCTAAGGGATTCACATACACAGTAAAGTTTGAAAAGCACCAATTTAATTAACTTTTTAAAAATACCAATGCCTAGACCTCAATCCCTGTATCAGTAAAGGCAGCTTCTCTGGGGGTGAGGCCTGGTTCTGCATATTTTCTGAAAGCTCTCAAGTGAATCCAATGTGCAACTAGGGTTGAAAGCCCTATAGAAGAGGAAAGGTGAACTGGGTATTGGCAGTATGACTGTGGCTAAGAAGGAAAGAATATTCTAAGTAGAAGGAGGAGAATGAGTATATATGTAGGGGGATGAAAAGGAAAGATGTCAAGGAGTTTGCTGCAGCTGAAATATAAAACAAAGACACACGGGACTGAGGGTAGACATCAGAAGACAGGCCATGAAAGTTGTCATACATTTAGGTAAGGACTTTAGAACGTATCCTGCCAGAGGAGACTTTGAAGGGTCTTAATGAGCCCTCACTTTCGGGTATCAGAAAGATCACTCTGTCTGCTGTAGAGAATAGTTTTGACAGGGGCAAGACAGGGGGCAGGAAGGCCAGTTAGGAAGATAATGAGTCATTCTTGATAAAGACAGAGGGCCTGGATAAGGCTAATTATACTGAAGTTAGAGGAAAGAGGACAGGTTCCAGAATTAGCAGAGGCAAAGAAGACAGGACTTGATGTGGGAAGAGAGTGACTTTACTAACAAGAGAACTGAAGAGCAGACATTGTAATCAGTTACTGGAAGAGAGTCTAGCATCCCAAGGAGATGGCCATGACCTGTAAGGAGGAAGAAGGGATTTGGAAGTCGTGTAGCAAGACCTGAAGCTTGCCTGGGAATTTGGGGCGTGGGGGAGAAGGGGCCACTGGGAAAGTACTGGACTCACCTACGGGCCTCCCTGTATTTGATCCTGGCACCTGTGTGCTTTGTTCCCAGCGGATCATCAGCTGCCAGAGGTCCAAGTCTTATCCTTTCATGCTTGTGTCCCAGAGCTTAGTCTGGTACCTAGCACAAAGAACTAGACCAGCTGAAATATCTTAAAATGAGAATGCCCTGAAGGTTAGACAAAATATGACATCTCTTCCGGGTCAAAAGTAAGCACTTTTTTTTTCCATCACTCCCAGGATTTTCAAACTGCATTTAAAATTGCTGAGTCATGTGTCTCAAAAACTTTTTCTGGCCAGTCTGAAGTTCACGAATACCACTGAAAGGGCATAAACTGTACCTGCTGGGCATTATCCTGGAAGACTTCATCAGAGATCTCCTTTCACAGATGCTAAATAATGTCTCTAACCTCTGGCTGATTCTACCTCTTTTAAATACTTTTTACTATTATCTCACTGTCTCAGTTATGCAACTTGCTAGTTTACACAGCTGGGCACATAACACCTCTGTGTCCCTATTTCCTGGCCTATAAGATGGGGATAATTAATAGAAACTACCTCCAAGGATAATTTTAGGATTAATGGATTTATTACATCTAAAGCATAGAATAGTACTCTGACAAAAATGCTTAGTGTCAGCTATGATCATTATTACTATCATCATTACTGTAAATTCTTCAGAATTTTTTATAGCTGTCTGTGCATGCTGCTTCCTTCAAATAGGTCATGAGTTCTGTTTCCTAAGTAAACTAACCATCTTTCCTTTGCTTCTGTGGAAAATGTCTTTTTTTGACATCTTACCAATCTACTCATAAGCATTCTAAAAGAGAAATCATATCTTTTTGCCAAAGTGTTTGCTTAGTAAAAAGGCATATGAAATTTTCTCCCTCATGAAGCAGCTCATTGCATTTTTATCACCAATGGTTACACTGAAAATTGGAGGAGTCTTACTGTGATAAGAAATGTCAGAAAATCAGAAGGCCACACACACAAGGTTGGAGTAGCGAAGGGAGATGGGCCTGCAAGGCCTCCCAGGGTCCTGTAGAACAGGGCTTCCACCCTGGCTGCACTTTAGAATCATCCATTCCAGATCCTCCTGCTCAAAGGGCAGCCTCTGGGTCAGCAGCCTCGGCATCACTAGGGAGCTCATTAAAACTGCAGAATCTACATATGCACCCCTATGTTTATCACAGCACTATTTACAATAGCCAAGAAATGGAAGCAATCTAAGTGTCCATCAGTCGATGAATGGATAAAGAAGATGTACATATACACAAAGGAATATTATTCAGCCATAAA